AGATCTGCTGACCACTCTTCACATCTGCCCTGATCACTGAGGGAAGGAAAATTCCAATCTGGAGATGCAGCTTTCTGACCTGGATTTTACTTTTTTTTTTTTTTTCTTTTTTCCCCCAAAGCTCCAGTAGATAGTTGTATGTCATAGCTGCACATCCTTCTAGTTGCTCTATGTGGGACGCGGCCTCAGCATGGCGGGAGAAGCGATGCGTCAGTGCGTGCCCAGGATCCAAACCCCGCCAGCAGCGGAGCGCGCGCACTGAACCGCTAAGCCACGGGGCCGACTCCTAGATTTTACTTCTGAAAGGGCCACTGGTAGGTGAGCCATAACTTTAGATCTGAAACTTCTTATGCTTGATATTTAAAGTGAAAGAAACTCTATAGGTAAATGTCAGTGATAAAGTTCTTCATCAATGACTTTCTGAATTTTATGAAATCTAGGAGTCAAGATACCCATTTGTCACTTAACCCTCGATGGTAGAATATTTGGCAGAAATTCTGTCACACGCATTTGGAGTGGTTGGTCTCCTAAATAAACAAAACATCAGAGACCAAACTGCTTCATAAAAATGGAAATTACTATTTGTAAAAACACACTGCTTATCAATGCTCCCTAGCATGTCCTTAGAAACAATGAAATTAAATTAACATCTTTAGGAAAAGGATCGAATGCGTGTGTGTACACACACTCAGAGACACATACTTCAGAGCCGTCCCCAATATGCCACCCTTCACAGACTTTGTCAACTCTTCAACAACATGTAGTAATAACATCTTTTAAACATTTAAAAACATTTAGCTTTCAAAAAATGAATGAGGACACTTTATTCAGTGAAAAATAGAGGAGTGATTTAGAAAGCAGAATATAACTGTCCAAGTTGGAATACAAGCCAGTCATGAAGTTCTCATGGCCTCTCTCAATGGGTGTGGTAACCAGTCTCCAAAGATGGCTCCCAACAATTTCTCCCTGCCCTATAGGTATACCTTCAAGAGAGGGATAGCCTCCTTGACTCTGGGTTGGTCTTGTGACTTGCTCTGAGCAACAGAATGCAGTGAAAGTGACATTCTTGGACCTTCAAGCCCAGGTCTTAAGAGGCTTGGCAGCTTCTACTTCCTCTATTGGGAGCCTGCCACCATGTTAAAAGTTTGACTACCCTGCCTGAAAGAGAGGCCTGGTGGACGCAGAGGCCTGAAGCCATCTTGGTTAGTTGAGCCCAGCTGAGCTCCTAGCAGAATGCAGCTGCATAACTGAGCCCAGCCAAAAACAGCAGATGAACCCCAGCCACCCCACAGAATTGTGAGAAATAATAGATTGGTGCTGCTTCAAGCTACTAAGTTTGGGGTTGTTTATTATGTGGTAATAGATCACTGAAACAATGGGTGACAAAAGACATCAAATGGTTAAAAGTGAGCCTGATCTACCATTCACCTGTGACCATCTATGATCATATTGGGATTTTGTACAGTTCTGCTTGCAAACTAATTTAACTGGAGAAACACAGCAACGACAATCTCTTGTCATATTCAAACTCTAGCATTCAATAACATCTAGGATACTGGCACTGATGTTCACACTGGACTCTGACAATTCTACCCACAGAGCCCTGTAGGACTAGAAAAACTATCTCCCTTGACTGGTTCATGAAGCTCTCTCCCTCCCTCTATTCCTGCTTTATCTAACACCATGCCACAAACCTGCAAATGTTTATGTTAGTAAGAGTAACAGGATGATGAATGCTGGAGTGAATAAAACTTCAATATAAGTATATTGGGAGAATGAAGAAAAGTTAGCAGAGGTCTTACCTGCACTTTATGGCATGGACTGCATGGAGCTACACAGACAACAATGAGGGGGCAGGCTTGGGTCAGACTGAATTATTACCCCCAATTCTTGACCCTTCTCTACATCCACACCCTTGCCATGAATGCACTGTGGTCAGATGTATTTTGCTGTCTATTGCCCTTGAGCCTGTCCATGTGACTTGATTTGGCTAGTAAAATGTGGGTGCAAGTGACAGAATGCCAGCTCTAAGCTCAAGCTCAAGAGGCATCATGTGTATCACTTGCACTTTTACCCTTCTGCAAAAGGAGAGCATATCCCCCTTGGCTCACTGGTCCCAGGAGGAAGATGAGAGAGACATGGGACAGAGCCACTCCAGCTGACCCACCAACTCGTGATCAAGAAAGACAGGCTTATTGTTGAATGCCTCTGAGATCTTGAGGTTGTCTAATACCCAGCAATAGTTGACTAATACAAGGCTCCTTTATGAGATGCTAACATTTGCAAAATGCACATGGTACTTTAGAACAACAGAAAGTCTTCTTGGCTATAACAGTTCTAACTAAACCAGCAAATGGATGGTTAGGTGGTCTCACTGCCAAGAAGAATATAAGTAGAATATATTGAATATCACTGAATTTTGCTCTTAGAGTCTAAGATTATCTTTCTAAAGACTGTAATTTAGTATTCAAAGTTCTTCATAATTTAACCCTAACTTAGTTTTCTAGCCAATTCTCTCTCACATATATTTTATATTCCACTCAAACTGCATTATTTATAATTCTTGAATATGTTTCACATTACCTCTAGCCTTTCCTTTTCTATTTCCTTCCTACACCTTTCATCCGACAGGTTTAGATTCTCCAGCCCCTTAAGGCCAGATTCAGCTGTCACCTCAGCAAGAAATCTGCTCTGATCCTGCCTTTTAAGGCAGTCTCTCCATCCTCCTGACTCTTATCATGATGTATGTCTTTTCCTCTTCTGGTATTTGGCTTATTCTGCCTCATAACACTTTCTTATCGACTTACAAAGTCCTAGAAAGCAAGGTTTACGTGGTATTTACTTCTGTATCCTCCATGGCATTTATCAAAAGGTCTTACACATAGTGTACAGGCCAGTCAATACCGTTTTCCATTAAAGAATGAGTGACCAATGGGAGGCAGCAGGGCAGCGGGAAACAACACTGAGAAAAAAACATGAACTTTAGAGTCTGAGAGCTCTGATTCTATCACTTAGTAGTTAGGCAACTTTGGACCAGTTAGCTTCCCCGTGCTTCAGCTTTCAAATACATAAAATTGGGACGGCACAGGATCGTTGTGAAAATTCAAGATGAAAATGAATGTAAATGCTTCTCGGTGTCTGACACATGGTGGTGGCTCCATAAATGGTAGCTCTTATCACAAAAATGATAACGACACAGAATATCACATAAAAATAGTTTAAATAAATCTCCAATATTAGATTATTTTCTCTTAAAAGTTAAGTGTTTGAGGGTGACACTAATGACTCTAGTTCCAATTAGCTGTTTTCCCAGAAACTGTGGTTTCACTGATCTGGATTCCAGTTTTATTAAGATGTTCATATGTTACTCTTCTCCACAGTTCTAAATTCTACAGGTAGTCACCACTAACAGCACATCTGTTCCAGGCAACAAGTACTTCTCCTTAAAACAAAACAAAACAAAATCCTCCTCCCATTTATACTAGTCCGCTTTTAGCAGAGCATTAGCCCTTCCACAGCATTCCCAGTTCTTCACCAGGGGACTGAAGCAACCATCACAGTGGATCAAAAGCTGGCGATTCTAAATGCAGCAGAATTATTTGACAGTGCCTGAATACTGCAACTTCAATTGTTTACATGTAAACATTATTTCAACGAGGTTCTTTATGGAATAAGAGATGAAGGGGTGCTTTTATGAATAAAAGCGCCACGCAAATGTCAAGTAGTAGGTATTATTGGAGAACTAATTCAGCAAAAATTGCTTCATCTGCCTTATACTAACTGGGAATTTTACTAATACACAGCCACATTTCATCAGAGCAATAACTGATCTTCCAAGGGACAAACTCAAGATGAGGCAAACTCAAAAGCCTGTATGTGGTCAGGGAGGTAACACCAATGAGTGAAGGGGACTTGACGTGCATTTGCAGGGAAGACTTAGCAGTACACTGGAGGCCACAGCCTGGCTGAAGGGGCGTCTGCTGACTGTTGCCTCAGGGAACAAAGGTCCAGTGTTGCCAGATCTTCTGAAGAAATTTGGAGTTTTAAGTGAAACATCCTGATTTTTAAAGGCTGCTTTATTTTTTTTTTTTAATTCTCTGGGAGCCAAAGAAAATATATTTCCTGGCCAGATGTGGCCAGGAGTTGGCACTTCGTGACCTTTGCACTAAATATTCTAAAGTCACTTTGAATCATAATATAAAGGTTAAAAGATGATTATTAACCTTATTATTATTTTTTAATCTGAAAATTTATAATTTACATAAAGAGAAATTCTCTATTAACTCCAAAAATTAAAAAAAAAAACACCACCTCAGTCCCTCATTTATAAATCCTCACTCACTCCACTTCTGGACCTCCACGTTTTCAGTCTTAACAGCTATCTCTGACCAGGACACCCTGTGGCTGCTGTCCCATGTACCTATTTAAATCCTACTAGTTCTTTAAAGCTTGATTTAAATGCTAGCTCCTGCATCCTCCATGATCCTCCTCAAAGTCTTCTATGTACAAATTATGATGAAGGGGCCGGCCCCATGGCTTAGCGGTTAAGTGCGTGCACTCCTCTACTGGTGGCTGCGGGTTCGGATCCTGGGCGCGCGCCAATGCACTGCTTGCCTGGCCATGCTGAGGTGGCATCCCACATACAGCAATTAGAAGGATGTGCAACTATGACATGCAACTATCTACTGGGGCTTTGGGGGAAAAAAAGGAGGAGGATTGGCAATGGATGTTAGCTCAGGGCCGGTCTTTCTCAGCAAAAAGGAGGAGGATTGGCATGGATGTTAGCTCAGGGCTGATCCTCGTCACACATGCACACAAAAAACATGCCCTTCCCAAATTATGATGAAAATTCAATGCAAAAGATCTGCATTGATTTCGATCATATCTCATCACCCATTCCCCAAACAGTATAACACAATAACACTACAATTATTCACTCCCGCAAAAGTGAAAGGCCTGGATCGACATGTCGGTCAAGAGTCAAGTTCAATGGCACTCACCGCCAAACACATCTCCGTTCTGGTAGTTTTTCCCTTTCTGGGCTTCCTCTTCATTTTGAACAGTGGCAACATGCTTGGCGGAGGCACAGCCCATAGTCTCATTCGGTCAGCTTCAGCCGGGCTGAACTGCAAATCATCTCTACAGACACGGGGACATTTTTTTTTTTCTTTAAACCCAAAGAAAATCGATCTTCCTGCGGACTCCGTCAAGATGTGCGCACCTGCAAGAACAGAAAGCTAGATCAGAATGCTTGAAACAGAACCCATGTCTCGGCGTCTTGCTGTGCTGTGTGACCAGCCATGCACTAGAGCGCCCGCATGACCCCAGTGCACTGGGCGGATGACTGGGCGCTGCGGAATGAAATGCAAGATGGCCCGTTTGTACCTGATGCCCACTCAGAAAGCACGATCAGAAGGCATGCTCCCTGCACAACACACGGCTGAACTTTTTGAGGAGATAAAAAAATACATATTTATTTATTCAATTTAACACTATTACTTGCCACAGATACACTTTAAAGTGCATCTATGTTTGCTAATGTTCTGGAATCTCAAAATCCTTCAGAGTAAGGACAATGCACTTATGAGATCCCCCTAGTTCAGGAGGCTGGGAAAAGTTTTCCATCTTCCCCACCCTGCCCTGCAGTCCAGATCTTCCCAGCTCCTCAAATTTTGCCTGGAGGAGGTGGCCTTCTTCTTCAGGCTGAAACATGGGCTAGTTTATACATTTCTGGTGGATGTTGTAAATAACTCAATATTTTATTTCACCTAAGGTGACGCTGTTTTGGAGGATAAAGGAGGGAGATGGGAACAAGAACTTTAACTTACTTCTGTCCATTTTCTGTTTAGCATAGTTTGAAGGATTGAACAGATGTAGGAATAGGAAGAAAACAAGGCAGTTTAGGGTTTCAGAGCCTTTGTGCCTCTATGTGACCTCTAATAAAGGCTGAAAGAGCATTTATGGAAAAATCACAAAGGGGACAATCCCCTAGCTAACCGGAGTAAATTTACCTTCCTTTGCCCCACCCAAGGTTCTGCCCAAATTCTCAGGGTTTGCTATGCTCAACTTGCTCGATTTTATTTATTTTATTCTTTCATCATCCTTAGCCAGCCATTCCAGTCTTGTCGATGACTTATTCCAAACTTACAGATGTTTCCTTTGAAACGTCTCCATTCCTTCGTCTCCATCCATCCCACTGTAATACAGGCCCTTCCCTCCTCACATCTATGGCAGAGAAAAGCAGCATCAAACCACTGCTCTTAATCTTCATTAGCAACCGCATCCCACTACTCTCCTCTCCCCTTTAGGAACAATTGATGTTTCTGAGTCTTAAAAACAGTGCTACCAAAATGCAGCTGCAAGCTTTCTCTTCCAACAAGATTGCTGCCCCTAAGCCCTCCTTCCTAGAGCACTAACGACATCTATGGATGTAGAAATCTAATCATTTAAACCACAAAATCTCAGCAAAGGGAATTTTTCAAATTAGCCTAAAACTAAAAGGTAATTCTAAGTCAACCTAATAAGTGAACTTAGATACAAAAGGTGATGATCTCAAATTAAGCCAAGCAAATACAAATTTCAATATTGACTCTAATGGCTGTAACATGTCCTTGTATAGTTCTTCAGATTATTTTCTATCACTGGTTATAGTAAATCATTAACAGGAAGTATAGGGTTAGTTGGTGAAGTTTTACAAACAAGGAAGATTAGTTTTTCCTAGATAGTTCATGCCTATAGTTTCTCTACACAATACATTAGGTAACCTCATGTTAACACATTTTCATCTTTTCAAAGCTATATGGAATACACATGCACATTAACAGTAATGTCATTAAAGCTACATATTTCAACTTGATGGTCTGTTCATACTGGTCTATAGAGCTCAGGGGTCTGATGGGGAGATGAGCTGAGATTTTTAAAAAATCCACACAATACAATGTAGTAAGTACCACGATAGAGGTTTCACAGGAACCTATGACAATGTAGAATTTAAAAAAGCAGATTAAATTCTGACTGGATGAAGGCAGGAATTAAAAGAGGCAGTGGTATTTTGTAGGGTCTTAAAAGTTTGGTAGAAACTTGCCAGTCTGAAAGGACCATAGTAGCAGGATCCAGATGTAAGGAAGAGCCCAAGCTAAGACACTAGAATGTGGAGGAGCACAGTGTGTGCGTGTGCGTGTGTGTGCATGTGTGTGTCCACGCTTGTTCAGAGGGGTCAAGGTGGGGGTGGGGTGGGGCAAGGGGAGCAGGGATGCTGATGCTTTGTGAAGGGTCTGCAGGAGGCCTGGCTCACTTTATCCAACTTAATAAAGAGAAACTCTGAAATGTTATAAGATATAGGAAGTCCTTCTGATCCAAATTTGAGCACACTTGGAGAGATATTAAATTAGTAGTTTCGAAATCCATTCTGTCAAGCTATCACAGTCTTTGAAGAAACATCCCTGAAACATGAGACAAGAAGGACGGGAGACGGGATTCAGTTCTAAAAGTAGGAGATGAGGCGAAACTCCTCTCTAACCAGGTAGCTGTTAAGCTGTTCCTGTGGTTGTTGCAATTGTGGTTGTTGCTTACTGTTGCTGCTTTGTGTTCCCAGCCAACACTTTCTCAGGGCAGCATCCGCCTTATTTCTCATCTCCAGCATCACCACGTAAGGTAACAGGTGTAGGCTCCCAGAATGAATTCCTTACTTTTCAAAAAGGAATGTGGGAAAACAACCTTACACGTGCACAGGAGAGCAACCTGAAGTGCGAGGGGAAACCCCGCATCACCTCCTTGGTTGTTGCCAGCTCTTCAGAATAAACAAAGTGAAAACAGGAAAGAGAGAGGAAAACCCTAACAAAATCCCCAAAGGACACTGGGAATCTAGAGACAATCGTCCTCTCTGGGAGTCCTCTGGCTTTTTTCCTCCTCATTCCAATTTCATGTTTAGAGCCTCATATGCTCTCCAAGAAGGAAATGTAAGAATCTAAGATGTGACTTACCCTTTGCCACCCTTGAAAAGCAGTGTGGCATCTCTTCTGTGTTTTAAAAGTTGTGTTTGTATTAAAAAATCTTATTTGAAGTTAAAAAGTTGAAATCACAGGAAAATCAAACACATTGCAGCAGGCTAACAAAAATAAAACATCTAAGAACTTTTCAAAGGACTTCTCTGTTATTCATGCATGGAAGTGATGGACGTGTTAATAATCAGATTAGACACAACGTACATCCAATTAAACTGATAATTCAAGAAGTTTCCATTTAATTATATTTTTTAAGAAGCACTACTGCTTAATAGGAATTCTCTCCAAATCATAAATAGGTGTAGAGTTTGTTTCTGAAATACACACACTATATATTTTACGGAAGTAATTTAATTTTAAGAGTGATGTTTTCAAGTTTTACAACTTCATCAGAAGTATACTTTAATATTTTGCCCATTTTGAAGGTCATAATTATGAAGTCATTTGAAAGGCAGAGGATCTCCAATTCTCAAAGTTAACCGTGGATCACTAGAGGAAGTTTTTTACTATGTCATTTGGATTCTGCACATAAACAATTATCTGATCATTCATTCATTTAATCAACAGATACTTATTGGAAACAACTAAGTGACAGACATGAGTTTGGCAGGCATTGGGTATACAGAGGTAAACAAGACAAGACATAGTTTTTCTCCTTATCCTCATAGAAGATGAACATTCAGAGAAAGGAGAGCATTAGAAAGCCCAGTTTCCCAGCAATGTCGTACAGCTATTGCCGGTTAAATACAAGATGATGGAGTTCACCCCACAGGCACCTGATTCAGCCTTCAGAGAGGGAATGTCAAGAAAGGTCAGGTTTGAGACCTGACCACAGCTGAAGAAATATTATTAAAACACCCCTGAACGGCACCTCTTTTATAGCCTGATGTAATGTCAAGATTTCATTTCTACTGAAAATTCTCTCACTTGACCTCAATCCAACTGAGACTTCAAATAGAGCAGACCTTCAGAAATGTATCCCTAATGACTACTACAATAATTTGCTCGAAAAAGCTTCCCTTTGGTTTGTACTATCCTTCACATAAACCCTAGTCTTTTTTTAGTTTCCATTTTTCCATTAGCTTTGTTCAGCTTTTCTCTCCCAACCCCAACACCCTCTATTCATTTACCTCTTTAAAACCACACCACTCAGAGAGGTAAGTCTGATGGTGCAAATGAGCTTGCAGGGACCGAAGAAAGACTCAGCAGATCTGAGAGTCTCGTTTTTACATATTGTTATTAACAGCATGCTATTTCTGAAGATACAGATCACAGTGTGAAAATTAAACTCAAGCATCTCTTTGATGTTTGATGGAAACTTCTAATACCAAGTCCCACTGAGGATGATTTTTTTAAACTAAATAATCTATATGAAAGGATCATCAGGCACCTCTAAAAACCTGGGGTCCAATTAATTTCCCATGGCTTTGTGTAAAAGTCTCCCCAAATGGTTTTCTGGCTACATATCCTGTACCACGTCATTAAAAATTGTAGTCCCTATTCACAATGCTATGAGCTAACCCAATTTAGTGCCAGGTTTATAGGATATTTTTCCTGCTTTTGATTAAATACATTAGCAAAATTTTAAATCCAATTTAAATTTTTAAAAAAAGTACTCAAAAATGTGTAACCATGCATGTTTATCCTTCCTCTCCTTACACTATGGCTCAAGCCTCTTTAGGTAATACTTTAGGTATCCTGGGGGAATTATTGTTCCAGAACACTTCACATTATAACACGAGAACATTCTTTTCTGTATACGTCTATTACTTTTCTATGAATACATATTACATACATGTGGTATGTTTGCCCTTTTATAAGGAAAGATTATGATTTTTTTCTTTTTTTCAATGCTGATTATTTTTCTTTTTTTCAGCTTTATTGAGGTATAATTGACAAATAAAGTTGTGATATATTGAAAGTGTTCAAAATGATGATTTGACATACATACACATTGTGAAAGGATTCCCACTGTTGAGTTAATTATTAACACATCCATCACCTCACATATTTACCTTTTTTATTTGGTGCGAACACAAGTTCTAGTCTCTTAGCAAATTTCAATTATACAATACAGTATTATCAACTATAGTCACCATGCTATATATTAGATCCTCAGACCTTATTCATCTTATAACTGCAAGTTATACCCTTTTACCAGCCTCTCCCTATTTCTCCCACCTCCCCAGATCCTGGCAACCACCATTCTACTCTCT